GGGCTTACTCCACCCATATACAAACTGTTCCTGAAACGGGAACATTTCATCTGCAGTTTTCTCAAGTTTTCCCACAACTTTCAGTCACAATGGGAAGCCTGAAGGAAATCTGTTCAGACAGTATACTAAGAGTACAGTCCTGTGGCTGTTGACACGCTTGGTGAATCACAAATAACAATATTGTGAAATTCTCCAAAATGAGGATGCACACAAAAATGCGAACAAAGAACACTTTTGTTCAGAAAAGTGTCCTTGTGGTTCTCACTGGGGTGTCCTTCATTTAAGCAGTGCACAGGCTGTTTAACAGGCTGCTTGTATAATACCTTTAAATGCAGAAGAGAACAGCAGAATGAATTAAAAACAGTAAGTCTTTCCAAACCAATATTGGTGTAGTTGTTGAGCAGAGTGAAAAATGCGATGAACCGATATGATTAGTGGGACTAGATTCCTCTCAAGTACTACTCAGCTGTTTTTAACAGACAACAGTGTTGCAGGTGAGCTATTAATTGTCTTAAGGGTCGTTAACAAAAATTAACAATGGTATGTTGAAAGGAAGTGTCTTGAATTAACACAAATTAAAATGGAGAGAGATGATCATCAGAGTGGTGACAGTGTTTGCAAATGACACTAAATTATGGGAAGTTTTGGAGAAACTGCTATGGGTGCATAGCAGGTATGAATACAGGGAGAAATCAAGTGGAATTCACCTTCTACAGCAGCAGGCTGCAGTTCCTGGGTGTGCATGAGTGTGGCTTGGGAGATGGGAGGCATGCAGGTGTAAAGAAAGCATGTAAAATAAAAGGGTTAAATTAAGCTGCCCTCCACTTTCAAGAGCGAGTAATATGATTTTTATGGTGTTCAGACAAATCTGCTGACAATGTGAAGTCCACTCAAAGAATACCCAAATGCGTAAAGGATTAGGAGGATCTGAAGAATTTAAATTACTGAGTTAAAGCTGTTTATAAAATAACAAATACTGTTTGTGATGTCTGAGGTGATGTAGCTTGATTAATACCGTGTGTGTGTATTCTTCTCGAGGTGAAGCAAGCTAATGTTTTTGTCCAATATTGGTAATACTCCGTTAGGTAACACTTCTAATTTATGCATTCCAGGGAACAGCTGCTACCAATAATATATCGGCAACACCGACGTTTCTGTTTTTCCGAAACAAAGTGCGAATCGACCAATATCAAGGAGCAGATGCTGTAGGTTTAGAAGAAAAAATTAAACAGCACCTGGAGAATGACCCTGGAAACAGTGAAGATACAGATATCCCCAAAGGATATGTATGCATCCCTTGAGATAATTTTTTTTAATGTTTGTGAAACTTGAATGTTTAGAAAAAATAATCTGTTGCTTTCTAAGCATACTCCCAAGTCAAATAATACTTCCTTAGGCAAAACCGCAGGTTCCCCGTGGCTTTGAGAAGATCAGTTGTCTGCGTTTCCTTTTTCAGATGAGATTTAAAAATCAACATGTACATGTGTAGTAAATGTGGTGATAGAATTATAAAATGTTTTAAGAAAAATCTCCTCACATAGCCCTTAGTCGTTAAAATAATGAACTTAATGTTTTATGATGAACTTTTTGCTGCAGCTGCTTATTCTGCCGCTTTCTTCTCAGACCCCCCAATCTGTCTTCCCAAGACGTATTTTTAATGTCTAAAAATGTCCGTGGGAAAAGACATTGGTAGACATGGTTGTCAAAAACATTGAAAAGTTGCTCTAGTTGTTCCTTAAGAAATCCCCTCTGTTGTTTATGAGGTGGTAGGTTCATTTTAGGTTTTCCTTTTTTTTTTTTTTTTTTCTTCTTGCTCCCTACCCTTTCTTTAATTCCCCTTATTTCATCTCTCTCTCTCAAAAAAAAAAAAATTAAAAAAAGATTCTGTTGCCAAAGGAATTAACCTTTGTAACAGTTCAGCTCTATCTTCCTCTAGCAGCTTGCCCTGAAAATAGGATGTCTTTGGGAGGGTGTCTTTAGATAAACCCTATCTCCAAATATGTTTTCTTTTGCCTAATTGCTAATGTTTGCAAAAGTGGGTGGTGCTGGAAAGTGTTCTCTTTAGATTTCTTCTTGTCTGTAAAAGAATGAAGGATATAAAAATATATGAAGTGAAAAAATGTCACAGGAATACTTGGAAAAGATTACGTGCCTGGTCTGAGTGGCAAACGAGTTACCTCGCACTGACTGGGAATTTGCTTTCAATGTAATGCTGAACGCGTATCACTGTGTCTGTAGGGCTGCTGCTGCACATCACTGCAGTGACTGCTGGCCGGGCATTCACAGATAACCTACACTAAGTAAATACCTTGTAAATACTCACTATTTTTTTTTTAAAAAGGCAAATATTTCTAAATATACGTCCTCGCACCGAATGGCTTTTAAACCTTGCATCGAAATTTCTCGTAACTAAAATCCAACTTTAACGTTTTCTTCCAAAGAATTTAAAAATCGGTGTCACAAACAGAATATTTTTAAATCATGGCATGATTTGCCCGTGTCTCATAGGTAAATCAAAGCTTTGTAGGGATACTTGAATTTTTGGCCAGAATTCCACTAAGGAAGCCATCCGCTCAGAAATATTTTCACCGTGTTCTGCATAGTTTTGTGTTACCTTGAGGCTATTGTGCATCCAAATCCTATGCCTGTGCTAACGAACACGTGCAAATGAGACCCTGACGTGACAAAACGCTTTCCTAGAGCTGTCGTCTTAGGTGGGACTCTCCAAGCAGCCCTCGGTGTAACATTCCTCCTTAACTGAGATTGTCTGTTGTTCCACCAGAAGAATCCCCGCAGTCAGTTACGTGGTGTGTTGCATTTTGCCCGAATGGGGTCACAGCTCTGGGCTTGGCTGGTTGCTGCAGCCTGGGCCTCGCTGTGTCTTAGCAAATCTAATCATTAAACTTAGCTGGGATGGGTAGCGGTGGAACCCAGAATTACATCGTTAAACGCAAAACTGGGCTTTGTGGAGGTTAAGTCTTTTGAATTTGTAGCTGGTCATGTCCTGTCAGGCAAATGTAAGCAGGGTGCAAATCCATCTGAATACTTCTCATTTAAATAAACCACCGGGGCACAGGCCACTTGAATTTCGAGCGGTTCAGCTGCTTGTGCAGCACCTGCTGCGGAACAGCTCGCGTGTGAACGCTTGCACTGACAATTATTGTGAAACCCTCTGTGGAACTGCGGGAATGAGGTTCAGGTTGTTGGCTTTGGAGCCCTGAAAATCATTCAGGTAGCAGGTTCTGGTCTGCTCAGATGGTTTTGAGATGAGCGTGCCTCTCATATAGAAGTTGACCTTTCAGGAGGTGGTGTCAGCCCTGCGGATCTAGTCCCGAGCCCGTTGGGGGCTGGACGAGCCGTGCAGGAGTCCTGCTTGACCCCCGAGGGGGTCTGAAATGCTCCTTGGGCGTGTGCTTGCCCTTGGCCCCCAGAAGGGACCTTTATTCTCCTGCCCAGCCGTGTGTTCCTTTTCTGCCCTACAGAGCGTGCCAGTTGGAAGCTGAGCCTTCCCTTGGATGTCGACGGCAGGATAAGGATTTTTATTTGCTCAGAATAACAGTCACAAGAGGGAAGGGAAGTGACATACAGGAAACGAGTTGTTTGCTCTCAGCAGCCTGTTTGTGGGTTCTGTTTGTACCCTGAAGCTACAGCTGAGGAGTTGTATGCAGTAATTTTCAAGCTAGTCTGTGTTGTTTTTTTTTTCTTACAAGAGTGCTGTAATATGATTTGGGATCTAATAGATGCCATTAAGAAGGGTATTTTGAGTTGTCATCCTAAAAGTCCCTGTAGCTCCTCACCTCTGGACTGTTGTCTGACTGTGGGCTGATTATGAATCTCTATTGTTACAGTGTGAGGTGTTGATACCCTGGCTTGTGGCCTCACGATATGAAATACTTGATTTTTAGCCTGGCTGCTTGTGCTTCAATTGGACTCGGTTTACTTTAGTTGTAGGCAAAAAAAAATCCTTGTTATCTGGAAATTGGTACAGATTGTTCTGCCTCTGCAAACATGCCACCTTTGAAATGGCCTGGGGCACGGCTAGCAGTCTGCTTTAATCGGAGAACACGTATAGGTTAAAGCTTTTAGTTGGACCTTTTACAAAAGAGCTGAGCAATAAAACAAACTGGCTCATGGTGAGCAGTAGCTTCTGTTTTCTGATGGTCTGTGTTTTTACCGAAGCATATGGAGGAAGGAGTCGAAAAAGGTTTCATACAGGTAGTTTGTACAGTGCCAAACCCCAATCAGAGTAAGACTAGCTTGGCACGTGAGGCTTGGTAAGAACTGTAGTGGTGGTCTCATATATGTTCTGCAATATATAGTGTATTTTTAGGGAGGTCCATTTTTTTTTTTTTTCTATTAAGTTGATCGTGGCTCCAGTCTAATGTCAGTTTGTCCGTGTTGTGGTGTGACTTGCAGTGCTCTAGGCTTGTTTATCAAAAGTGTATCTGGAAATTCTCCCTGTAGCCAATGTCTGGCTCTCAGCATGGCAAGCGTGAGCACCCGGGTGCAGGATCCTGAATGGAGGGGAAAAAATGTCGTTCAGTTATGAACAGGATCCATCCGAGTACTACTGAGTCTTTAGTTTCTGTTTGTCACGCCTTTTGATATAAACCCCGGAGGTTTTCTGTGTGTCTTGTTATTTTAATCTGTTGAATGAAGAATGTCATTCATTCCAATGCTTACTAATCCCAGGTGAGTTCGTGACGCACTTACGCACTCAGCAATGCTCTTGCTCTTACTTTCAGATGGATTTAATGCCATTTATCAATAAAGCCGGCTGTGAATGTCTTAATGAGAGTGATGAGCACGGATTTGATAATTGTTTACGTAAAGACTCTACCTACTTGGAATCGGACTGTGACGAGCAGGTACAGTAGATGTTTTTAAGTGAGATATTTTCTGTGGTGGTCTGGTCTGCAAGCATTTATTTAAGAACTTGTCTATTTGCTATCGTTACGCTAGTGTGAGTAAGAGTGGGAGACGGTAAGTCGGAGGTAAGTCAAGTTAGTATAGAAAGGGAGTTGTAGCATTTCCAGTTTCACATCTCTTTATGTATGGAAGAAAACTTCCAAGCAGAGTAGTGTTTGCTGATAGTTTAAAGTGACAGAGCAGTGCATGTGTGGAACATAGTGAAGGTAAGTACTTAATTTTATTTCAAAGCTCAGACTTATTTCTAGTTTGTTATTGTGCTGTGTTGTTTTTTAAGAATGAAGATGGTGTTTAACAGCAACTTTTTTTTCTCCGCAGCTGCTTATCACTGTAGCTTTTAGTCAACCCGTCAAGCTTTATTCTATGAAACTTCAGGGGCCAGATAATGGTGAGTGAAGTGTCTGTTCAATCATGTCTTTGAAACCAAAGCTTTGCCCATGTTTATCTGATTATTTATTTTTTTTAAACGACACTGTTGTCCCTGGAACCTTCTGAGAATCCCACAGCAGCTTCAGTAAATGAGTTGTAAATGAGTTACATAACAAATGATCTCGTTCCTTTTTTCACTGACCTCGTGCCTGGGTATTTGGAATGACACAAATATAACTATTTACTGTAGTTTGATACGCTACAAAGAGAAACTTGCGTTTCATTCAAGAATTAATGCGTGAGCTATTGAAGGGTAGAGCTTAGTTTTTATGGTAACTCAGTTTGCGTTATTAAATTACACAAAGTGTTCAGGTGTTGTATGACACAGCAAAACTATTTTTAGAGCATTTATTACAGTTTTTTGTGTGGAATTCTGTCTCTGACATGTGGACGAGTAGTGCAACCCGGGATGTCCATCCCCACCCGGGTGGTGATGTGGGATTGGCAGTACTAAACAGGGAGAGCTCGTGCCTGCCTGGAGCGGGGTCTAGGGGCTGGCAAGGGGGGGCTTCTCAAAATACATTTAAACAATGGAATCCCACTCCTCTATTTGAACACAGGGCAAGGTCCAAAGTACATAAAAATCTTTATCAACCTCCCTCGGTCTATGGATTTTGAAGAAGCAGAAAGAAGTGAACCGACTCAAGCCCTGGAGCTGACACCAGATGATATTAAAGAAGATGGTATTGTCCAGCTTCGCTATGTAAAATTTCAGAACGTTAACAGTGTAACTGTAAGTAAAGCTTCTGTTCCGAGCTCTGTGCGGGCTCAAGTACCTGCAATGTCTTTAAACTCAAAACCTGCTTTCTGTGAGGGTTCTTAAATGTTGTCATCAAATTTGTCTTTTAACAAGCTCTCTGATTCTCTTGCTGTAAGAGACTTTCCACAGACTTCACACAGGGTTTTTGACTCTCAAATCCAGGTGTAGTTGCTCCTCTTCCATTTCAAAAATACAGGTTCTAGTGCAGTGTGTGTGGTGCCTAAATTGGTGCTGGAATTGCTTTATGCTTGGCCGTGCCCTGTTTCCTATGGTACTGTGCAGAACTCTTCAGAAGTCTCCAGCTGCTTATGGAGTTACAGGTAACTCCGAAACGTTAATCCACCCTCAATCTTTTCATCACAGTTCTTCTGTAAAAAAGTTTCTAGGAAATTTCTACGTTGCTGTTTGTGGACTGCATCTTAGATCAGTCAGCTACTTCCATGTTTAGTGTTTTACTAGCAGTTATTTTCAAGGTAATGGGAAGCAAACTTAAATAACTCCTTTTCACGTCAGTTATTTCTGTGGAGTTCCCTTTGTGACCAACTTTATCCTTCCCCAGATGAAATGGGGATCGGTGACATAAGCTCGTATTCTACAAAGCTGTGCTGACAAGTACAAGTTACGTATTTGTTCTTTAATAAAATCCGCTGTCAGCTTTAGATGAGGTGGTGTGCAAACACCAGACGAGCGATAAGGTGATTAAATAGATGCTCTGCTTGTTTGCACTCGTTGCGTGTGGGCGCTGCCGTGGCACTCCTCATCTCCCAGCTAAACCTGGGTTCTGTAGGTAAGGCTTCCTAAAACCGGGATGGTCGGGCTTCTCGGCCCCCACCTGGCAGGTGAGGACGCTCTGCTCGCGTGCAGAGCCCTGTGGGGAACAGCCTCCCGTTCGGCTCCGGAGGAACTGGAGGAGGCACAGTTGTCACGTACACAAATTATTTGGCTTTTCTGCCGTGTGTAATCAGAACTACTGGTTGAACATTTCTGTTAGCAAGTTCATACTTCATTTGTATGTATCACTGCTGGGTGTTAGTTGTAACTTACCTGGTTTATTAATTGTATACCCTGTAGTTACTAATCTGTATAACTGATAACCAATGCTGGTTTTCCCCGTTTGTTGTGTGTTTCTCTTCATTTCTGCCACCTCAGTGGCATTTGTTTTCCTCTGTACTTGTTGAACTTTTCACGTCACTGCTGAGACGGAATCTCTGCACACATTGCAGTTCACCTGCTCGACAAAAGCCGGGCCGTGACAGGCTCTTGTGTTTCTTTCTGTCAGAATAGCACTTTCCCCAGCGTTTCAACCCTCACCTTTCACACATCTTGTTTGTGTAGGAAAATACAGGCTCTTCCAGCTGCGGTGAATGTCTGTACAGGTTTAGATCAGCAGTCCCTCTGGCTGATCACGCACTTGGGAGCACGTGGTGGTGGCACAAATAAATTTACGTACGGGGCAAGGCCGTAGCGGCACGTTCCCTCCAGCACTGGGCAGCCTGTGGCACGGGCAGTTTCTGGGGCAGAACGGGTGTTTTCATACGCACAGGCTGTGGCTTGTGGAAGGGGTGTGATGCCGCCCCTTGCTGCCTCTTGTCCTCCCTCTCCTTCTGTTACTCTGCTTCTGATGCCACTACTCACTTGCTTCCTTGTTCCTCCTTTCTCCACACTCACAGTAAAGTGTGGAAAGATCTGCAAACGCCTCATTGCTCTTCTGACTCCCAAGTTCCTTACAAATACTACTTCACATTAAAAAAATTGTTCTTTCATTTGTCCACTTTAAAAAGTGTTGTGGTTCTAGCAATAATTCCTTAGTGTGTATCTCAGAAGAAGCTTGATATTTGTTTGAAACCCTAAAATAACTTCCTAGAGCTAGTACTCGTGCTGTAAAACGTGTAATTGTGGAAGCTGTTGTAGTAAACTGCACACAAGTAGTCTTAGGGGCCTCAGCAAACATAGTTAAATAGATACTTCATGTCAGATTCCAGTAAATTGTGACTTCTTAGATCCTGTTTTTACTTGCTGAATGTGGTCCTGGGTCAGAAGTGGGAAATTCCAAGCTGTACAGGGTGTTTTAACTACCAGGAAAATAGTAGCATTCTATATGATCATTATTTAAAATAAGAGGACAGTAGCTTATCTAAACACTACAGAAGCCTCTATAACAGGGAAAAGTGTTAGTTTGTTTAGTTCAGAAATCTTGGGGGCCTTACGTTTTATTTATTAACCCAAGGATGGACAGTTTCCCTTAACTCTTGTGTTTGGGTGTTGTTTTTTCTTTAGTTGTTTGTCCAATCCAATCATGGGGACGAAGAGACAACAAGGATTACATACTTCACGTTTATTGGAACTCCAGTCCAAGCAACAAATATGAATGACTTCAAGCGAGTGAGTCCTCTTTCTTTAAAAGCACTTTTGAATGTTTTAAACCGCCTCAAAAATGGGTTGACAGAACAAATACCTTGGTTGTTACTAGAATTCCACAGCTTGAGGTAGTTTTGGCATCCAGAAGAAAATGTGCAGCTTTCTTTTTACAGATCTTTGGTCTTGCTTACAACTTCTGTTCATTGAATGTATAAAAATAACTGATCAGAATACATACATGAAAACTTGAGGGACTGTCAAGTTATATGTGCTACAAACAGTGATATTTTTTTTAACAGCCATGAGTTTTACGTCCTGATTTTGAACTTGCTTTCTGATGGTGTTCAGGAAGTAGAGAAGCAATTGTTTGTGCGAATTAAAAAGGCTCCTTGTGATTGACGTGGCTTCTACTTTGAAGGACTTTCTGCACTGGGCAACGTAAAATAAGCCTGAGATCTGAAATTTGGTCACAAGGTGTCTGTTTAATTAAAAATTCCTGCTTTTTAAAGAGCAAATGAAGCAAACAATTTACTACGCTGACTTCAGACACTAGTGCTGAACAACAAGGCGCTCAATTCCTGATTAATTTATTTTGGAGAATGTGAAACGGGTTTGAAAATTTTGAAACTTTAAAGCTACTTACAACTTTGTCAAAATGTACTAAGGCTTCTTAAAATAATCTGCTTTAAAACTTGGTAGCCTCTGTAAAAGGGCAAATACTGCTGTAACACTTGCCTACAAACTGCTGTGTTGGTGAGCAGTAACAGTGAAGGCATCACAATTTATTATCCCAATAACCTGTAACTTCAGAAGGTTAAAAACACTAACGCTCACCAACATGCCACGTACCTGGAATTTTTAACATCACAACTTATTCTTAACTTCTACATGTAAAATTTAATGCAGGTAATGGTTAAGTTAGTAAATAGAAGTTTAACAGGTTTTGTTGCCTTTCCATGAAACTTGAAGTCATTGAAAAAGTTGTTCTAATGTACTAAAATTAACTGGGTATCAGTTTTAGACCTTCCTAATATATCACTTCCAATTCTCCCAGAACTAGAAGTACGTTAAATGATTTGCAATCTGCTTACATTTTCTGTTTTATATTGGCTTTTTTTGTCAGTACTTGTGGCATTCGGGCACCCCCTGCAACGAGTTGTGCGATTCCTAATTTAGCAGCATTAATCTGCAGTACTTGCTGGTTATTGCTGGGAGAGGGATGGGACTTGACTCGCTATTGGATCCCTATCTCACTTTCAGGTCTCTGTAAATTAGTTTTGCTTTCAAAAGTGCTGAAATTTTATTTTCAGCAAGGGCACTCTTTGCACATGACTTTCTGATTGTTAAAGTAGTGATTTATTATTTCTAATTGATAATCCTGGTTGGGGTGTGCCTGGTAAAGCAGTCCAGACTTTTGCAGAAGGTTACAGGGGTTTGAGACCAGTGTTGAGGCCGCACAAGGTGCGTTTCCTACAGCATTTAAGTTGCATGGCCAAACAGTTTGGGCCCAGGACTGAAGGGCTGCTGTAGCCTGGACCTGGCTGCTGGAACGAGCTGAGCTCCAGCCCGTGGTTGGGGGGGAGTGGGCTTCTGAATTCCCACGTGCCCTCACACAGCCCTAGCGTGGCTCTGCAGGCATCTCGTCCCTCGGAGGTAGGTGGAGTGATTCACAGGGGTCTCCCGGTTCTAGATGCAGCGTGGACGCCAGGGAGCTGCTCTAGGGCCGGGTAAATGCTGCGCCGGTGAAGGTTTGGTTTCCTTCGTGGTCGCAGGGGAGTGCCCTTTGTGTTGCGTGACACCCGTGTGAGCGGACGGGGAGGGGGCACAGCCCCGGCCCCCGGGGGGCACCGACCAGCACCGCGGTGTGGGCGCTGCTGGTGGCCTCCCGGGGCTGGGCAGCTGCCCACAGCGGCCTGCGGAGAGGGGCAGGGGCTGCTGGGTTGTGAGGTGGCTCGTCCTGCCTCCCTTCCCATACTCATCCCCACTGTATTCCTGTTTTGCTTCCTGAACATGTAGTTTTAATATTAGGCTGTTAAAATATTTCATCGTAACAAATGGGATGTGTAGTCTGGCAGAGCTGCAGTGCTCGTAGGAATTTTAACTTTTGTTCCCTCTCTTCCAGTGATCCTGTCAGTTACGAAACCTTAATATAGTGTTGGGCATTAATTATATTTAGCTTTGTAGATTAACTGGGAAACCTTATTTTTCTTTTCATCTCCTTGAGTAGTTACCCACACTACTCCTCACTGCTTTCATCTCTCTCACTCCCTCATCTCAGTCTGTCTCTACTGTTCATATTTCTCTTCTAATGAGGATAGAAACAGTATTGCACTGTGATTAACTGCCCGCTTGGCAGTTGATGAGTAAAGTGTGTAAGTGCGGGTCCCGTGTCCTTCGGGCAGCTGCGGAAGGCTCGTGTTGGCTCGGGTGGTGCTGGCTCTGAGAAGATTGGCTGCTTCTGGGCCAGGGAGTCGCTGCGTGTGGCTAATAGAAATGAGGCATGTCTGCAGGACTTACACCGTCACGTAGGAAGATGAAACTCATCTAATTTGGAAAATAATGACAGTACTAAGCGGATTGGTTAAGTCAGTCCTCCTTTAGTGATTTTTTTTTTTGGGGGTGGGGCCTCAAATTAGTTTGGACGTACATAGACTCACGGATCAGCCCAGGTTGAAGGGACCTCCAACGATGACCTGATCCACCCTTGCCTGGGCAGGGGAGCTGAGATGAGGTTATCCAGCCCCTCGAACCCCCGGTGACGGGGACTCTGCCACGTCCCTGCGGAGGTTGTTCCTGCACTGGTTGGTCTCGCTGCAGAAATGTCTCTCATTTTCTCACATGTAGTTGGTATTGCTGGATTGAGTGAGGAAAGCTAGAAAAGCAGCTTTCAAACTTGTTTTAATGTGTCGTGTGTATCCTGCTCCTTGCACAGCTTGATTTTTGTCCTCTGGAGAGGAGGGGAGTCTTTGGAGTGATGGAAAAGAGGGACAGCAAGGGAAAAACTACTTCAAACAGACTACGGTGTAGGGAGTTAAGCACAGAGAGCAGTGGGGAGAGACCTGTTCTTTGCCCTGTTTAAATGAAGAGGCCCTCAACAGCAGAGAGCTGGGGTGGATATTCCCTTCCTAGATGTATTTAATATATTCCGAAATGCTTCTGGAGAAGCTTGACCTAAAGGCATGTTTGATTTTAAAAAACATGCTGAACACGAGGAGTGTTTACGCCGCTGCTCCGCGGGCACGTGGGGTCTGACTGAAGGTGTAACTGAGGACACAACTCCTCTAGTAGAGCGCATTTGGGTGGTGGTACATGGCTTTTGAGATTTGCTTCTGGTGCTGCAGGATGCTCAGACTGCTTGGGGCAGACAGCTGGAAGGGTAACGGTGCAGGTTCTGTGGGGTGTTTGCGGATGGCCGGTGGCTTTAGTATTCGGTGGGCCCCTGTGAATCGTGGGGGGAACTTGTAAACGTGCTTTTGTTTTTGGAAGAGCGTGCGACTGTGGGTGTCCAGTATAGCTGCTGTTTCTTTCTGGTGTGAATGAGTAAAGCCTACAGCTGCTCAGTTTTGAGGTGGGGCACAGATGAATGTTGACAGGGTGTGGGACATGTTCTTGTCCCCTCTTGGACGGAGGCTTTCTTTCTACTCAGAACTGCTTAATTGCACTACATGCTGCTGCTTTTTTTTTTTTCTTGTAACATTTTGTTTGTTTGTTTTTCAGCTTAACTTCCCATTTCTAAAGAACTAAAAAGGCAGAAGAAATTAAAAAGTAATAATAAGATTGAAGTGGCCTTGCACTGCTCCCTCCCTTGCTCCCTCTGCTCATCTAGCATCTTTCACCCTTTCCACAATCTCAGCACTGATGCGAGAGCTGCCTTCTCTGCACCTTCTACCGTCAGGAAAAGCCTTCTCTACCTTCTGACTCATCAACTCATCTTTCCCCTCCACTCCCCGCTCCAAATCTTACCTTAAACACTTCTCTTTACCTGTCAGTCCTATCCAATTTCTGTCCTGCTGTCACCCTGAACATCTGAAAGTCATACCACACCGTACTCACAGGTTATTTTCCATAACTGATCTCTCAGCCTGTGTTGAATTTGTAAAACCGTTTGAGATGTGGCTTGTGAAATGCTCTACCAAAGCTTGACTTTTTGAACGTCTTAGTGGAGCTTAGTGGTGCTCTGTGTCGTGGCCCTGCAGCAGGCAGGCCAGCAGGGGCTGCAAAGTGCCGCTCTTTTTGTCCCTCCGGTGGCACTGGGCGCCTGTGCAGGGAAGACAGCGAGGAGTTGGTGAGTGTCTGCACATAGGGGGACTGATCAGGGTTTCCCAACAGCATCCTACTAATTTTACTTGCTTGACCTCTTACATATAAAAAACCGAAGCAAACAGCCCCAACTCTGCTCCAGGAGGTTCAGTATTAAGGTGTCACTCTTGGTGACAAACCATGGAGTTGGTTGTGGGTTCGTCACGCTCTGCCCTGAAGCTTGGGGAACGGCCGAGCGCCCGAAGGAAAACCTGCTCCGAACCCCTCGTCTTCTGGTGGGAATCCCAGGCTGTAACCGCTACCTTGGAATGCACTAGGTGGCAGCTGTTTCTGTGAAAGGAAGGAAAACGGATCTGCTTCTGAGGAAAGAATAATGACGGTTGTTGGGTTGCACTTGAAATAGCCCATTTCCTTTTGGGAAGGTGGAGTGGGATGCTCAGAAAATGGGATTCTTTCCCCTGTGATAACAAAATATCCATATTGGTGTGATTTTTCACAGATAATACACATGGGCGAGTTGTCAATCTCTGCCTCAGACTGGTATAGCAATATTTGTCCTTGATGTGCCACACTTGCTAACACCTAATCTTTAATCTTTTAACTGTGTTTTTTCTTTTTTTAATTTTTTCTGTGTTTTTTTTTTTTCCTTTATCTGTGTGTGAACACAGTTTGATGCTTTGGAAACACACAAAGAATAAATACTGCTTCTTGACAAGTTTAACTTTTTTTTTTAACTTAATTAATTGGATCTTAATGCAAGTACTTGGGCTTCTGATTTTTATTTTTTTTTCTTCTTTCGTTATGTTGTCAGATTGGAATTTTCCTGACCCTTAAGCATTAGGTTGAATTTACAGCTTGGTGAAATGCTCCTGGTCAAGGCTTCCTTGGAGGTGAAAATGGTCTTCAAAAGTACTTTTCATCAGGAGATCTCAATTACTTTGCAGTGATAACTCAGCTGACCAAAAGCAGCTGGACAGTGAAAAAATTTTCCCTCTTGAAATTTGACAAGAAAAGAAAAAAGGAAGGATCAGGATGAATGCTTCCAGCGAGTCTGTGACACTCCCCTAGTTCAGAGCTGAGGGGGGTTGGGGTGTTTTGTTATTCTGGTTTTCCCCTTAGTTCTGTATTCCACGGCTGAACGTATGAATCTTGGGTGGTATATTGTCACGTAACTGCCGAGGTAATTGATACTTCACACATTTGCCATAGCAGTCAGTTGGTTAGAATACCAAGAAAGGTTTAGTCCTTCGTTTCCAGCATTATTGTGAGTAGTAGAGAGAAATTCTACACTACTAGTTCCAGTAGTGTCATCCCCAGATCTCCGTTGGTGTGAACTCCAGCTACGCCTTGTCAGAGCCGTAAGTGCTGCCCCAGTTAAACGGAAACAAACTGGGACTCGGTGCCTTGCCCGAAGTCCCTCCTGCAGCTTGGAGCCTTAAACTTGAAGACTTCCTTTCTTTTTTATTTAGGTTTGGCTTATAAATGGCTGTTTTTTTCGAAGGGTCTGCAAGAGCACTAGAATGATGTCTGGATCTTTTCAGGAGAGTGACTAGAACGGCCTCGTTCTCTGCTCTGGGGCTCTGGTGGTGTTCTGTGCTGCAGGGGGCTGCCTGCCCCTCGGCGGGGCGCTGCGCTGGCCGTGCCCTTGCTCTCGGCTGGCAGGTCGCCTCGCAGAGCCTGTGGCAGCGCTGATCTGCTCAGGAGAGGGAAGCACTAAGCTGACTCTGATTCCAGGTGGAGTTGGCAGGATTGGAGATTGGAAGGAGACTTGGTAAGGAAAAAAAAAAAGTTTTGACAAGGAATAACTGAAAAATCAGGTGACTTCCAGATGTCTTTGTAGGTTTGGGCTGCGTTAGAAGGTGAATGTTCTCAGTGAGGGCCATGTCACGGATGCTGGGGGAGTGAACAGACTTGGACTTGAGCCCCCAGCCGTTCCCTTCCCGCTGTCATTTGCTGAGTGTGTTGGTGTAGAACACCCCCACTTTGCCGTGTGCTCTGTTGTGTGGCAGTCACTGTCTTCTAACCCTCCTCAAAAGGAGACTGATGCCTCGCTGTCCGTATGAGTACTAGAGAGAAGGTGTCTCGTGTGTCCTGCCCCCTCTTAACCCTCTAGGGGACTCACAGCGTAAGGCATGCTCAGATGCATTAACTCAGCTGAAAATTCGGTTGTGCTTGTTTATTTTGCAACTGACTTCAACTTGGAAGGACTTTCTTGGTTAAACATTATTTCTGGTTTTCTCTTATCAGGTAGTTGGCAAAAAAGGAGAGAGCCACTAGGACGCGGAAGACACTGGAAGGCCTTACGCAATCAAAGAGATCTTCACTCTTATCTACAACTCCTGGATAATTGCTTGACCATAACCAGAGACTGTCAATCTGTTTTGTTTAATGCCATTACCAATAAATCATTGCTTTTGTTGAGACGGAGTTTCCCTAGTGTGTTTCTGTTGTAATCCTCGGACATGTATTTGTAAATAAAATTCATTACTTTTGCCAAGTTTAATTTTGTTGTTCTAGTAACTGTGGCTCTTCCTTTGTTCTGTTTAAACGTCACAACTCAGCCGGCTTATCTTTAGAGACAGAAGACAGAATGTCGCTCCCGTTTGTTCCGAGAGTTTAAAATGTCAGATGGAAGTAAAACATAGACTGCCATCTAAAAATAAAATCCCAGCGACTCTCTTGTAAGACCGAGGGAGCTTAGGATCATTGTTCCCTCAAATACAGATACTCCTCACCTAGGAGTATCTTCGCCTGGTTGGGAAATTTCCATTTCCCTCCCCACCTCAGAAAGCCGGGCAGGGAGCACGTTTTAAGTCACCGTTCCATTAACTTGCAGATTTGTCACAAACGGCGTGCTGATGCAAGCTGTTCAGCACCAAGAATTCTTCAGTCCTTTGAAAACGTTTGGTTTTGTTAATATTACTAGAAAATATTGACCTCGTTTCCCAGGCAGACTCTAGCAAGCTGTGCACTTAGGAGGATTTAGATGTTTGTGTGCCCCACCTGAACATGAATTGCTTATTTCTTTTATTGGGTGTTTTTCCTCTCTGGATCGTGATAAGGAAGTGCTTATTGCACATACTAATTTTACATCTTAATTGGAATTCCTATATTACTATGGTAAATTTTCTTGGATGTGTGCCCTGAGTAATCTTAATAAATCGGGCATTGATCAGCACCATATACATATAATACTGTATAAATTCCCAGTAAAACTTGCTAAGTGTTTTAATTGGCATAATTAATTTCTTTGTAAAGTTAAATTTGTTACATTTCTAATTACCATAAATCCCACTAAGGCTTAAATCCTGTCCTAATTGGCATTCCCTCCTTGAACACAGTAGGGTGGTTCTCTTCTGGCTTGGCAGATTTGTATGTTAATACCGAGTTAACTTTCTGTTAGCACAGATATTTTCTCCAAACAGAAAACCGGGCATTGTCTAGGAAAGCATTCTTTGAGAGGCACTTTTTTTTCCCACGGTTTCACTGCGTGCTCCAGGAGCCTCCTCTACCTGTACCTTCTAGTCAGTGGCACGTGGTGATGTCTTGGGTTTCTTTCTACTTCCTTCGTGTTTTGCTTCCACGGGGGGTGTAAGGCATGTAACACTGTATATAGAAGATAAATCATTTTTGAATATAACTGAGGGCAATATGAATTACTGTTTCTGTTTATAATTTTGTACACTAATTACCTTTTGGGTTATTGTTTAAGTGCCTCATCTTAAGTATTGCTTACCTCATAATATTTATACCTGAGAGATTTGATAACCTAGTGATTCTCATCTTTGTAAAAGATTAGTCAAATTTATATTGTTTATGAGACTCTTCTGTGATTTCCTTGGTTGCATGATGCATACCTTCCAGAATGATACTATGTACATAGACCTAAATAAATGTTTAGAGGTAACTGTCACACGTTTCACTTGATGGAAAATGGGGTGGAATTCTGGACCAGGAGCTAAAACTCCCCAGCCTGGAGCGTTAGGCCACGATAGCTGGGAGCGGCGTTGCCCTCGGGCGGTGTTGGGGCTGTGGGGGATCTCAAAGGACCGGTGCTGGCCGTGCAGCTCCTTGCCCTGGGCTTCTGGTCTTGGTGGGAAACCCCCCACTGAGCAGTTGATCTGTTTTGAGGAGTCCTGAAAGGGGACGTAACGCTGCTTGTGTTCAGTGCAGAGGCTCTTGGCGTTAGGATTTGTTGCTAGTCCGAGCTCTGGGTGACTAGCGCTCGCTGCCATGAGGCGAGTTGTTATTGCTGTATCCTGAGGCTGCTGGCCTTGGTTTGGCGCAGGCGGGTGGAATATGCTGCCGCAGGGCTCAGAACTGCTACTGAGGCAAGGGGCATGCCTCTGCAAAATTAGCGCTGTGCTTTGACCCCCGAACAAGGCCTGGCCTGGCTTTGGCAGCGCTCCTGTCCCGCTGCCCCCCTCCAGCTGCCCCCCGCCCCTTGCTGCTTCCTTCCTGGCAAAATTGATGGGTTGAACTTTCAGCGAAACACTGAAAGGTGGCTGAAAATGGGTGAGTGCAACGTGTGTCCTACAGCTAACGGCCAAGTTCAGCTGGTCGTTGAAAGAGTTTTAGCTGGAACCCTCTCTTGCTTCCTCCAGGGCTGCCAGGCTGCTCCCAGAGGTTCGCTCGGTGTCCTTAAATGCCAAGAGGCTCTTCCGTGGCCGGGCTCGCCCGGGCGGAGCGCGCTGGCCGGGGTATGGGCGTGGGGGCTGCACCACGGAACCCACCCGCAGTGCACCGCCTGCGGTAGGGTCTCGCCGTGTGAACTGTTCCTGCGTGGGGGCACGGAAAAGCCTGAGCTTGTGCTGGAGTTGCTAGCTGACACCGTACGCTTTGATGCATGCTTGTCTCGTCTTCATCCTTTATGTCACTTGTGTGTTGAGATTAATAAGCATATGTTACCAGAGAGCTGCTGGACTTCATCTAAAGGCTGCTAGAGAGAGCAAATACAGCACCAGAGAGGTTGTTTATTTTCATGTTTATAGGCCTCAATGTTTTTAGTTCTGATAAGAGTTTGAGGTATTAGAAGACTAACCTCTAAATATCATTTGGCTTCTAAATTAATGGAGAAAATACAAGAAGTAATAATGGTTAGAAGCTAAAGCCTGAAAAAGTGCTTGTGGTCAAGGAGGTACATCTTTCATCTGCCCGATTCCTTCAAAATACTGCATTTCCTACTTCTGTCATCTCGCTTAGCTGATGATGCTTGTAAGGTTTTGCAGGCAATCGGAGACTAAACGTGACACGTCCTCTTAAAAGGTGCTGAGGAGGAAATCAAGAGTACAGTCAGGGGTGATAAAGAAGCAGAAATGCAGACTCTTCTTTTTCTCAGGCTGGCTTCACAAAATCATCTCAGTTGGAGAAGCCCTTGCAGCTCCTCCAGCCCAACCATGACCCTCCCCCTGACCGTTCCCAACTCCCCCAGATCCCTCAGCGCTGGCTCAGCCCGACTCTTCAACCCCTCCAGGGATCCCGGGGACTCCCCCCTGCCCCGGGCAGCCCATTCCAACGCCCAACAGCCCCTTCTGCACAGAAATCCTTCCTCAGAGCCAGCCTGACCCTGCCCTGGGCAGCTTGAGGCCATTCCCTCGGGGCCTGGCGCTGGGGCCTTGGCTCCAGAGACTCATCCCCCCTCTCTGCCCCCTCCTGGCAGGGAGTTGCCGAGGGCCAGGAGGTCTCCCCTCAGCCTCCTCT